TACCTCATTTCCTTTTTTTTTTTTTAAAGAATTTTTGAGGCATTTTTTTGGGAATTTTCAAGCATATTTTCCATTATTATCTTTTCTCTGTCAAATCTTTCTGAATCTATGATTAGGTCTTTGTATGGGTTTGGCCTCAAGAATCATTTAACGGAGCTTCCCGGTATAACTAGTGGCCTTTAATCATCTCCAATTCCCATACCCAAACCCTCGATATTTTATCAGAGCCTCTAACTTGCCTATCTCATAGTTCTAGTGAAACATCCTTCCTTTAATCCCTCAGAGTATGTATTTGGAAGCGTTACAGTTCAAGCAGTCCATGAAACAAGCCATGGATTGAAAATTTACAATTGGTTGTCGGGTTACTGTTCACTAGTTAAATTCCAAGTTCTTGCTCTAACTTTAAAAAATCATAACTATTTTTACAAAAATCATATGTGGTGCTCCAAATTTCTACTTGAAGCTCTTTTAGTGCTCTTTAAGCAAAAAATATTAAAATGGATTTATCTCTTCCCAATTCACATAGTTTAATTAGTAAACATTACTGTTTATTTAGTAAATTCTGGAACTTCCAGATTTCCTGCCTTAAATTTGGAATTTCATATCTTCTTGTGTACGCATCCAATTGAGGTGATCCACCTCTCATTTTAAAGCTTAAGATATGTACTTTAATCATCCCAAATTTCATGGGCAGAATCAATCATTTGCCTTACTTTCACTTTGTCACTATTTCATAGCTCATTTACAGATGTTTTATCTCCCTAACTTGTATTAACATTTTATAATTAATTCTTTTCATGTCTAATCTTATTCCATTCATGCATTAGCCAATCCTATACATTATCATAGTCAGCCATATATGCCATTATCATCATTTATCATCACATAACATTAATGGCATGTTTGACATTAACATACAAAGTGTATAATGTAATGTAATATATTTCTTCAATTCTTTTCCTCTTTCCTTACTTCCACTTCATGCATCCTTTGCTTGATTCTTATCACCTATTGGGGTTGGTTAAGGAAGAGTGAGATTCAGAAGAATCTCAATAGCAAACATTATCATTATGCATGCAAGATAGATGTAAGTGTATGACGTGCTCACATGATCTAACTCATGCTTACTTATCATATTTTCTCATACTTAATGTTTCATATTAACATGCATGGCCATGGAAAAACATCAATGAAATAGAACATCATACTAGCATTAACATCTCATAACATCATCAAATCACATAATGCGTATCAACACACAAGCATACGCATCAAGCACACAAGCAAGGTAAGTTCACTACCTCGTATCCTTACGCTTTCTTCTTGCTCCCTTTTACTTCCAACCATTAAAGTTGCTTGCTCAACCTTTACCATTCCTTTTTCTTGATGTCTCATGGCTTTAAATGCATCAACACATCATTTTCATTCATTTATTAGAGCCATGGTAATCAACAATATCAATACTTTGTTTTCTTTGAACTATATTAACTTCTAACTTTTGAGCTTGATTTCCAACCTTTCTAAAATTAATTCCACAAGTCATTCCCATACAATTTTGCATGTAGAATTTATTTCCAAACTCAAAATAATTAAAATCAAACTCTTTTCCTATAAACCATCCCTAACTGAATAGTATGCACTTATGGTCTAAAATTTCTATTTTCAATTCTAATACTTCGAAACTTGTATTCTCACCTTTACCCCACACAATTTTTCATTTTAAACATAATGAAAGCATCAAAATCATCAAAATCTAATCCTCTCTCCAAGAACCAGCTCTACCCAAAATATTACTTAAATTATATAATTATGAAATTCAACCAATTTCAACGTAACCACCTGATTCTAGTTCCTTTCAAGCCTTTAAACATTATTCTAACATTAATTTCATCTTCCCTCATACTTAAAAATTTCATGCAGCATGTCCTCTTAGTTTCAAGCTCCCAAAAACCACTAAAATTCATAACCAAGCTCAACAACAAGGGTAGTGAAAACTACATCAAAAACCATGAACATACCTTGTTGTAGAGCTTGATCTTGCATAGGATCACTTGGCCTTTCTCTCTCCTTATTTCTCTCTCTAGAATTTATTTTGCAAGAGTTTTCCCATGGTTTCCATAAGCTTGGATGAAATAAGGGGAGGAGAGGTGTATTTATAGAGTAAGAACAAATCCTAGCTATTGATCTCAAAAATATGTGGCTTAATCTTGATTGTCTATTTTCCCTCTTCATCAAGCCACATGTCTTGAATCCAACCGTATACGTGTCTTCCATCCGACCATACACATGTCCTGCATCCAACCGTACACATGTCTCTTCCATCTAACCATACACTTTTCTCTTCCATGTCTATTCATCATTTTGGTATTAAAATAAGGAGAAAATTAATATAAAATTCATGCAAAATACAGCCCTTAGGCATTCCTCCACCTATCTTACCATTCTGTACCGTATCATGTACTCTTTCAAGTCCTGACTTACCCGGGACTACTGGGACATAGCATTATACAATATGCCTAAAGAGAAAATAATGCTATGCTTGGTGCTTTTCTTACTTTTAATGCAGACTTTGAAATTAAGGGTCAATTAATTCACTCATTACCTAAATTTCATGGCCTAGCAGGTGAGAACCCATACCTTCATCTCTGGACTCTCTACATGCAATGTATGTCTATAAAGCCGGTAGGGCCAAGTATTGATGATGTCATGTGGAAGGTGTTTTATTTATCTCTTGAGGACAAGGCTAAGGAATGGTACATGAATCTGCCACTCTATATTGATAATGCATATGAGTCATAGACTAGTTTGAAGAAGGCCTTTTTGGGTAAATACTTCCCTTTAACCAAAATTTTTGTTTCTTGTAAGGAGATTTGAGCAGCTAAACAAGAGCCCTTTGAGTCATTCTTTAAGTTTGGGAGCAGATTTCAAGAGATGCTTACCCAATGCCCCAATCACGAAATTCTTGATGAGACTTGGTACAATATTTCTATAATGGGCTGTTAACATATGATACACAAGTTTTGGATGTAGTAGTAAATAAATCTGTAGAGAACATGGAACCAAGGGCTATATGGGAATTAATAAGAACTTTTGCTCTTAATAGACAACATATGAGCTCAAGGGATCTAATGGACCACAAATCTGAGAGGGATCCACTTTTGGGCAACTTGGCTCAAGATATGTCCAAGCTTGCAAGTACCGTTGAGAGTCTCCATTCCAATAAGCCCTAATCTCTTACTTTAGGGGCTACAAGTTATAGGGTTTGTGATTCCCCAATACATACTACTCAGAATTGTCTAAGGCTAGTTAAAGAGGTGAATACTGTGTACTAAGGGAGAGATGGGCAATATCAAAAAAGGGACCCTTACTCAAATACTTGCAACCCTAGTTGGAGAGACCACCTACACTTTAAATGGAGTAGGAGTGTAAACAGATCAAGTCAATGAAGGGAATTGAAAGACGCGTAATGAAAAATAAATTTAAAATTTTCAATCCCTTGCTCGGATCTACCGATTGTGTTTAAGTCAAGTAGTAAGAAGTATTACCTTCGATGTTCGATTTCTTGGTGGCTTGGGGATTCCGCCGTTCAGGATGCCTCTGCTAGCCTCTTTTATCGCTCGAAGTCAACAACTTAGATCGGCTTCCTCTACCGGTATCCACACGAACAGTATTCCAATCACGAACGATGTGCTAGCGCCTCTTGTCCTTCTAGGGTTTATTTTTCGAAGAATCCGTCCTCCCTTCTCTATTTACTGGCCGTCTCTTATTTGCAAGCTTTTGCACTCTCACACCCAAAACCCTAGCTCCTAATATCAAATATATAGGATGCTATAGGTATTATGAAGGATATTTGATTTCGAAATTAATCCTAAATTAATTCTGAAATTAATACAATATCAAATATTGCGTAATCAGATAAGAAAACAATTAAATAAATATGGTTTATATTAAATCCGTCCCATAGATTTAATTCACCTATTTATTTCATTCAAAATAAAGATATGACAGAATTATATTTGATTTATTCTCATAAATCAAATTAATATATATATACGAATTTATATATATATACCTCCACCCTATATTATTCATTGAATCTGGATATATCTTAGATTCAATTAATCTGGACATCATAGCTCGTGTTGGGCTATTTTGTGTGCGACTGATGAGAGCCTTTGTCATTTTCCTTGGGGTTCCCAATCAAAAATAAATCCAAGCAATGCAATATAGTGCAAAACTCGGGTCGTTTCACTTTGAGGAGCCTTTATTTGAAATCCTAAGCAACTAAGTATCAAAAATAAAGAATTGACTTGAAAAGGGATTGATTTTCTTGTCCTGATTGGCAAAATTTAAAAGGATGTAAAATGAGTAAATAATTTTTGGATTTTTAGTTTATAAAATGGATATGAATGAGATAAACAAAGAGAATTAACAAGTGATAGCAAATGGAAAAGCAATTCTCTAGCACAATGATTAAGGCTATCATTACTTCAATTAATTTGGGAGTTAGCTAAATTCAAAAGACTCTAAGGGCCACCCCCTAGACTCGGTTTAATTAGAATAATCAACACCAAGCCACCTTGCATATTAATTATTCACAATTAAACTGTTTCAGCACAATTAGCCAAAAAGAAAATCAAAGAAAAGCAATTAACATTTTTAGTCCAATAACCAAGCCACCTTGAATTACCACTAAATGTTCACAATAATTTCAAAACATAGTCTGACCCAGTACAATGTAAAGAAATTAAAGCTAATCATAGCATAATGTTAAATGCTAATCAAAGATTCTAACAACTACAACCAATCTCAATACAAATATAAATCATCACAGCCCATTCAAACATTATAAAATTCATTCTAAGACCTAGAAATCACAATTATAATGAAAGAAGTAAAGATTAGAAGAGTTGAAACTCCCCTTTGAAGCTCTAAGTTCAAGCCATAACCATTGCTCTAGAGAATTGGAAGAATTTAGCTACTCCTAACCATCATCACAGCTCCACCAAAATTCCAATTCGGTTCAGCCATGAAGAACAATGAAGATGGAATCTGCAGGAGTGATTTTGCCGTGAAGCTATGGTCCTTCGTTCTCTCTTCCTCGCCGCTGGTCTCTTCAATTCACGCCACCTCCAGCTCGTGAGTTCCTCCCGCCGCTTGCGTCTTGCCTGTTCAGCTCGTTCGGCGTCCCCCCTCCTGCTTCGCGTGTGCCTCGGGTGTGTGTGTTTCTATTTCAGTGCCGCCATCCGCTTGTCTGTCTTGTGTGCGTGAGTGATTATTATTATTAGGTTGGGGGAGGGCAAAACGTTTCGTTTTGCTCTCCCCTTTTATTATTGCTATATATATATATGTATATATATATATTTTATTTTTCTTTTCTTCTTTTTTTTATTTTTAATTCTTCCAAAAACCTGCAAACAAAATTTAAAAGTAAGGTAGCATTAATTGTCCTCAAAAAAACCAATTACTCACAATTAAACCAAAATATGACAATTTTGCCCCTATAAAATAATAATTCAAAATAAAATAAATTAAATCAATTAAGGCAAAAAGAGACCAATTAAGCTAACAAAACTCATATAAAAGATACCAAAATATATAAAAATAATTGAGTTTGTCAGCGACCCTGTAGGCCCATATGAAGTTGGCAGTGGGCCATTAACTATAATGACTCACAAATCGTAAGCGGTCTCTAGCAAGACATCATGACTATTCAAATCATATGAGGATCGTTGAACGATGTAACCTTTCATACAACCATATCACGTCCCTTTTGTCACACGACATTTTGGTCATGGATGAGGCATGGAGAATGTCATCCTCCTATTCATGGTTGTGCCATCAAGATCGGCTACTCTATGTGCAGTGCTTGGAGATTATGAGTTCTATTAAGATTTATGAGCGGCTCAATAGGAAGACGATCAACTGGCAAGGATCCGGGTTGAATTGGAGAATGGCCCAGTACAAGACTATGAATTTGGAGATATGGACATCCTAAAGTATAAGAATCAGATTTGTGTTCCTTATGATGAGGAGATTAAGAGAACTGTCTTAGAGGAGGCTCATCGAAGCTGTTATACCATCCACCCCGGTGCAACCAAGATATACCATGACCTAAACCAGTAATACTGGTGGCCCAACATAAATAAAGAAGTGACCGACTTTGTACTCTAATGTTTGACTTGTCAAAAAGTCAAGATAGAGCATTAAAGGCCCGGAGGTTTGTTGCAAGGGTTAAAAATCCCTTGATGGAAGTAGGACGGCATCTCTATGGATTTCATAGTAGGTTTACCAAGGACATCCAAAGGTTATGATACTATTTGGGTAGTGGTGGACAGATTGACGAAATCTACTCACTTTTTACCATATAAGGTCAATTATACCTTGGAAAGAATGACCAAGTTGTACATGGATGAAATCGTCCGGTTTTATGGTGTTCCGTCAAGTATAGTCTTAGACCGAGATTCGCACTTTACTTCTAACTTTTGGAAAGCGGTAAGTGCGGCTTTGAGTACTAAGTTGAAGTTCAGTACGGCATATCACCCGCAAACCGATAGACAGACTGAGCAGACAATTCAGACACTAGAGGATATGTTGAGGGCTTGTGCTATTAAATTCAAGGGGGGTTGGATTGATCACCTACCTTTGGTTGAGTTTACCTACAATAATAACTACCATGCTAGTATCTAGATGGCCCATTATGAAGCACTCTACGACCAGAAGTGTTGATCGCCTCTCTGTTCGACAGAGCTGAGTGAAAGAATGGTTTTAGGGCCAGACTTGGTAGATGCTACCACGAAGAAGATTGAGGTTATCAAGTAGAAGTTGCTGATAGCTCAAAGCCGGCAAAAGAGTTATGCCGATAGGAGGAGGAGACTGTTGGAATTTTGTGAGGGTGACCATGTGTTTTTTAGGGTCACATTGACTATCGGTATTGGGAGGTCCATTAAAGCAAAGAAGTTATCTCCTAGATTTCTTAGACCCTTTGAAATTCTGGAGAGAATTGGAGAAGTAGCCTATTGGGTTGCTTTACCTCTGTACTTGTCTAATGTGCACAACGTGTTCCATGTGTCCCAACTCAAGAAGTACCACCCTTATCCGTCTCACATCCTAGAACCTAAGGAGGTAGAGCTGCATGACAACCTAACTTACCAGGCAAAACCAAAAAGAATCCTTGATGTGAAAGACAAATAGTTGAGGAATAAGACCATTCGGTTGGTAAAAGTTTTCTGGAAGGGCATAAGTCCTGGTGATACCACCTGGGAGATAGAGGAGCAAATGCGACGCGGATACCCTGTTTTGTTTTCTTAGTAAGTGTTATGTGTTGGGTACCATGTGATTGCTTGAATTTTAGGGACAAAATTTCTTAGTTTAGGAGAATTGTAATATCTTGAGTTTTATTTTGAGTTTTAGGTAGCCCTTTTTTGTGGATTTTGAGGATAGATTAGTGATTAACCTTGAATCTTGGTGTTTGGTTTGGGATCAAAGTGAGTTGGAGTAGCTGGTGAACAAATCCCTCTCAGGATTTGTTCACCGCGATGAACTAGGAGTTTCAGGGGGGGTGTAGTTTCGAGAAGGTTTCGTTGTGGTGAAGTTAGGGGTATGCTGCAGCGAAGGATGTCTGGACGAGTGAGGGTTCCTCTCAGGAATGTCTCTTCATGGTGAAGATTAGAGTTCGCCACGGTAAAGATTGGTTTTCAGGCGACTAAAACCCTCTCGGGATTAGTTCGCCATGACCAAGTCTTGGGCTCACCATGGCGAAGGCCCCGAATCTATAAATATGCAGGAGGGGTCAGTTGTGTGAAAATTCAAATTTCTGAAGATGGGAGTTGGAGCTTTGCTAGGGTTTTGAATTTTTGACTTGGAGGGGGCATTTCTAAGGGTCCATTGCCTCAAGTAAGTGATCTTAAACTCTAATCTACTTCTCTCTTGGTATTTTTGAGGATTTTGTAGAGAAATCCTAGGGCTTTCTAATTTCTGATGGAATTGAGGTTTTTGACCAATTGTTTTGAGTTTAATTGATTGCTTTGGGTTAGTCTAAGTATTTAATCGTTGTAGTTTTCTTAGATTTGGAGATTTTGAAGTTTTGGGAATTTAGGGTTTGTGAAAATGAAGGTTATGACTAAAGGATGATAATGTAGTGGTTGAAATTGAGTTTTGCGAATTGGGTTATGTTAAGGAGGGTTAAATTGGATGTTTAATCGGTTTAGAATGTTGTTAAGACTTCAATTGTTCTAATTAGATGTTTGGGTGTTGAATCCTAGAGTGGGTCTTTGAGGTTTTAAATTCTTTTGATGTTTGGAAGGGGAGCTAGAGTGTTAGTGGTCTCTTATGGTTTTTGGAGTGTTACTAGGCTGAGACTAAGAATTTTGAGTCCCTAAGTGTTGTGTTGATCATTTTATTACTTTGAAAGCTAATATATGGTGGTTGTGTGTTTGCATGCTTGTGTAGACCTATTGTGAGTATTTGTTGGTGCATGGGGCATCATTGGTATTTTGATTATTCCTTGCTCGGGCAAGAGCTAACCACTTTCCAATCCTTGTAGATGCTATTATGGTACTATGAGTGGATTTATGTTTTCATGCTCCGAGTAACAAATACTATTCTAAATGTATTTTATATATGAAAAGGAAAATTGTCTTGTGGGGTTTTGCATGAGATTAATGTTTTAGGAGTTTTTGGAAGATATGCCACTTGCTGTAGTTATTTATGAAATGCAAACTTATTTATTGGTAAATGCTTGAGCATGTTTCATATGTTGGGAAATGGTGAGAGATTTGGTTGATATTATCACGTGGTAAGGCCTCCATTAATGCATAATAGTTGGCTCCTTACATCCCCCATAGTGAGAGATATGCCTTTGTGGCTCTTTACATTCCCCATAGTGGGGGATAGGCTAGGTTCGGCTCTTAAAATCCCCCAAAGTGAGGGATATGGTAATGGGTTGCATCATTGCACTTACATGTTGTCACATTCAGTAATATGGCATTTAGGAATAGGGATATTCCTAAATATTTAAGGGTCAAAAATGACAAGGAGAAATAGAAGAATTTAAGACATCCCAAGAAATTGTAAGAGATTATGGAATTAAAAGAAGACCCTTAAGTATCCAAGATTTTTCCCAATTCCTCTGAAAAGTGGAAAAATCACTAAAGAGAAGGAAATTAGTTTTCCTTTTATTTAATTATTGGGAAATTAAATTTGAGACAAAGAGGGCAATTTGGGAAGATAAAAATGAGGAGAATAATTTATAGATCTGACAGAAAACAATTACAGAGGCCAGAGCACTGTAATTATAGAAAAGAAGTTAAACTCGGAGTCAAAGTGCATCGATAAAGCAAGACTATAGTCTTGCAATTCAAATGTTTCACATTTAGCCATGTGTCAAGCCCCTAATAGAGAGGATTTAAAGCTTTCCAAGTGTCAAGCCTCAAGTGGAGGAGAGTTTGACTTTTGGAAATTAATTATAATTGGAATTAAGTGATTAAGAAGGAAATTTCAAGAAGGAGTAGGCTTTTGACACTTGGCTTCTCATTAATGCTAGTAGGTGAGATATTTTGTGCAAATTAAATGAGTAATCCTCCCTCTAAATTAGATGCTAGTTTCGACCAAGAGCAAACCAAGAGGGAAAAGAGAGAGTTCAAGGAGAAATCAAGAGAAAGGGACCAACTTTGATCATCCAACCAAGATCCAATGTTAGTTTTTGGTTCTAAGTTGTTCTTTGCCTTGTTTGCTTGAGTTATATGGTTGAAATTTTTGGTTTTCTTCCTTCTTTGGTGCTGGCTGAAATGTATAATAAGTAAGGAAGGAAGTTTTATGGTTCAATCTTGCTAGAACACCTCAAAGCATGATAGATCCTAGTGGTTACAAAAGGTTATAGGTTGATTTTGAAGTGTTTTCTCTGTTATGATGCATGAGAAGCATTTCGGCCAAAGCAAGATCTAGACCCTAGGATGTGCTTTTCAAATTTTTGAGGCTTCCATTGTGTTCAAAATGAAAAATGGTGTAAGGTAAACCTAAAAAACAAGTGTTGGAAGCCATGGAATCAAAGTTGCAAGTTTTGGATTTTAAACCCTAGTGGTTCGACCAAGCTGAAACTAGAAGAGGAAGTTTTATTTTCTTAAATCCAACTAGATATTTGGAATCTACATGAAAAATCATGTAGGAATGAGTCAAGAGGGAATTTTTAGGGTTTAAGGAAACAAACTTTAAAATTAAATAACAAAGGTGGATGCTTTAAGAGACAAAGGATGTCCTTGAGTTATGTTATTGATTTTTATGAGGAATAGTTGATGATTCTTGCTGCCTTTTTTTTGGATTTCCATGTTAGGGTTTGGCATTTGTTGAAGCAATAAAGAAGAACAAGAAAATCAAAGAGCATTAGACCAAGGTAGTAAGATTTAATTAACCTTAATGTTGAGTGTTGCATTGATTGCTATGCTATGCAATTTCATGTGCTATTATGTGGTTGAACTAAATAATGATGATGATGATGATTGTGTAGCTATACTCCTTGCTTTATGTTCCTTGGCTATTGCATGTTAGAGTGCTACATGTATGAGGTAAAGTAGTTCCCTATTAATAGCAAAAGGTTGGAATGTTTGTAATTGATGCATATTAATGTTTTGGTTGATTGATCTTGCTACTGGGATTTCTTAAAATCTCATTCTCCAAATACAATCTAACATTTTAGGGCCTGAAACTCCCAAGAGCAAGCTGCAGATTGGAGTCTAAATTATGGTGTCATGCCATAAAAATTTGTTGACTTTTGGTTATGTAAACATTCGGCTGGACAGTGTTGTAATCCCTAGGCAGGATGTCAGTTTAGAGCCACGTTTTATTAAGTTACTGAATGAATTTCTGCACAAAATTTAGTACACTTAAAGTTGACATCATGAACTTCAAATTGGTAAGAAGCACATTAAAAATGGCCAACTACACGATTTTTACTGATTTTTCAAAATTAAGGTTCAAAATCCGAGAAAAGGATTTTTGCCAATTGGACATAGGTGGATTTCACAAAAACCTGACACTTTTTCAAATGGAATTGGTTCATAAGATTATTTTTCCTTGAACAATCATTTAAAGATATTTTTATAGAGTTTTGAACCACTCCATTTTCATTTTTCTAAATTAAGTTACGAATTTTTGAAGTTGGGCCAGAAAACTGGATTTTTACCTGATGAACAGTAAAAATCTAAAAATCAGCATTTTTCATGAATTTTTGAGCCTAAGACCATCCAATGTGGTCTAAAATGGTTTTAATTAAATCCTAAGTAGATTTGATAGTAAGGTGTGACACATGTTTTGTTGTGGCTATAATTTTTAACTTGATCAGTTAACTACTCCACTTGACACCTCACGAGCACCTATTAGTTTGTACTCTGTATTGGAAGGTTGGTTACTGGGACTTCAGTCTCACCCCGTGGTTTATATGTTTTAGGTGAAGGTTCTAGGCATATATTGTTGCAAGGGATACTGAGGCTTGAGCTACTTTTAGCAGTAATGCCTCTGGCTTGTATAGATGTATTGATAGTTGTATATTGCCACACGTAGGGTTGTTTTGTAAATGTTTTGATTACATGGCATTATTGTATCTCCATAATTGGTTGGCCGGAGGCCAATTCTAATATTTTATGATACTTGGGTTTATGTTTTTGAAAAACAAGTGGATGGGCTTATGTATGATATCTTTTGTTACTCGAGCTTAAGACTCAGAGGCCTAATGGAATGAACAGAATGTTTGATTGAATAAAAGATTTGGTTGCATGCAACTTGTTTGGGTTTTTACCCATAGTTTAACTGTCAATTTTAAAAATGTTAGAATGTTTTCTTTTCTACTATGGTAGCTTGTATAACAGTTTTTTCTTTCTATCATAGTAGTGAGTCATATGTTAAGCTCTTTATGTTTTGAGGGAAGGAGTTTTACACAAGCTCACCAGGAGCAAGAAAGAGACGTAGTAATAGCAGCAGCGATAGCAAAGGCAACGGCTAACCATGATAAGAGGCAACCAGAAGAAGAAATTTCTACAGCTCAAGCATCAGAATTGTTGCCTAGACTAGCAACGTCGATAGTAGACCTTGACAGCATCCAGTAGTGGATGACCTGTTTTTGCAAACACAATGCATTATCATTTGATGGAGTGTTTGGTGTCTAAGCGACAAAGGATTGGACTAACTGCTTGGAAAGGATTTTCAAATTTTTGGACTGTTCGACTAAGTAGAAAGCCTAAATATTAATCTACAAGC